CCTAGTAGCGTCCTTGCTAGTAGTATGGCCAGGAGTGCCCCTAGTAGTGTCCTTGCTCCAGTAGTATGGCCAGGAGTGCCCCTAGTAGCGTCCTTGCTCCTAGTAGTATGGCCAGGAGTGCCCCTAGTAGCGTCCTTGTTCCTAGTAGCGATGCCCTTTGCTCCTAGTAGCTTCTTGTTATTGTACAGTAATCCTTTGGTCAAGTGCTTCACATTTCTAAAAGCTTCTAAAGCACCTCCCATGCACTTTGCCAAGACCTTCTCCAACCTATGCATTGGAGACCGCAGTCGGAGCCCCAATGCGGTGCAGATGAAACAGCCCTGCACGCAACGCTGCTGAATCTGCAGGCCCGACCTTTGAAGACTGGACTTCAACCCTGGGAGGTCGCTTTGCAGATTGATTCGGACCAATTAATTTGGAACGAGATCATCGAAGTATATCGAAGATCTTATTTTTCTATGTTGTTATCCTTTGCTTCATCATTCATATTCCATATTCCCAAGTCAGATTAAATTCTGTGAACATCCAGCTCAGGTCTGGGGCCCTCCAGCAATGCGAACCAGTGACAACAGCCACTTCGATTGAATGTTAATTTGGAGTCGTTGATGTCCTTCGTAAACCCGGAGCTCTGAAGGTCTGTTGTCCAACGGGAAGGCCGGTTTGCCTGTCTTCGCCCGTGAGATTTTGTTTTTTGGTGTTCAAACAGCTTGACTGCAGGTGAAGGAACAGCTTGAATTCTTGGACGCACAGGCACTACACTCACATCTCACATCAAATCCGTTTCGTCATTGGCCCATTGGCTGAACGTTGAAGCCTGACAGGTCAGAAAACAAGTGGAGCATTTGAGCTCGCAGGCCTTCCGATTGAATGACGGCTTTGTGTAGAGGCTCCAGAAATCAAGAAGGGTGTGGCAATGTTACGATTGGGGGCTCCGTTAGTGCTACGTGTGGTAGAAGTAGAAGATGAAGCAGCAGATGAAATAGTAGAAGCGCTGGTAGTATCAGCAGTAGCAGCAGCAATGATAGCAGTCCTGATGGTAGTGCTGTGTCAGTCTCTTCGATATGATGTAGACACAGGATTATATAATAACAGCCTCCCACCTTGTAATGTGGATGACCTCCTGGAATACTAAACGCCTTTGATCTACCTTGTGTGCAATGTTTCACTCTTGACTCTTGCACGTTAACCCTCCCAGTTAATTTTGGTTGGCCGCCTTCTGCTTTTGAACATGTCCGCATTCTCTCATGCCACTTGCTACTATTGGGGATCCTTCCCATAAACAGATTAGCCAAAACAGTTTTGGGGGTCCCTCACCATGACCAGATTCATCCTGAGGAGCCAAGAATCTCATTCTGGAAAGATGATGCTTTTTCGTAAAAACGATGGCCTCCATCCTAATACGTAGCGATGGCCTCCCTCAAAGAACAACTTTTGATGCCAATAGCCAGCACGAAGACTTTGATGCCATTGCCGTGGCTTTGTTGCTTTTCTTGGATTCAATTCTCTTCTGCCTTTCAGGTCGGTCTGTCGCTCAAGTGCTCTCAGCTTAATTTCTGCAACTCAGGTCCAAAGACATGCCGACTCCATTACAGCAGAGGTGCAACCATTGAAGTTTCTTGGGCTAGACTGACTCCAGACACTGAAGTGTAAATTCTGAGCCTGTTTGTCCAGAGGCGCAAAGCTGACTGAAGACCAGGACCTTCCCAAACACTGATGAACTGATGGAGTACTTCTTTTTCTTAGACAACTCAGCCACCACTCTTCCAAGAATTAAGACACGCACAATTAGTGTCAGCATGTGTTAGCTGAAGCAATGCTGCACGTGCGCCCCAGGATGGAATTGATACTACAGTGATATCGATGTGTTTTGGCTTCTTGCAGCATTGGGCAAATTTTAAGACGGCTTCAACTTCTGGAGTGCAGTCTCGAAAGAGAGGCCAATGAAGTACTCCGCATTTGAAACGACAGGATGGCCGTCGTGTTGAACGACGCCGGAAAGCTGTCTCACAAGTGATGCCAATGAGCTCGCAAAGGGTTAATGTATAATGTATGTTAATGTGACATAATGTGACTCATGTGTCTGCCGACGGCGGTTGAACTCAACTGCTGTGCGCCACTCGCAAAAGCCCATGAGATGTTCTCTCTCCGGAGAACAGTTTGCACAATTTTTCGAGTTGCAGTAGTGAAACCTACGTGTGGAACCCTTTTCCTGCAGCGTTTGGCTTGTCTTTAAAGCTTGCTTGAAATGAAGCTGCATCTTACACAAATACAGACGTGATTGTATATAGTCGTATTATGTGTATATGTATATATACATATGTATTTTGTGCCAAACCTTTTGATATTGGAATGCCTTCCATGCTATCTCTTAATGTTTCAATTGCAACTCTGTGGAGGATAACTTGGACGGTCAACTGGCACCTGATCAGTCTGAAAGTGGCTCACCATGGGCCGCCGAAAACAAGCCTCGCTTCCACCAGAGGAGCTTTGAGGAGGCTAAGTAAATGGACCCCAGGCTTAGGGCTTATGCCGTTGCTGTAGAGAAAGGCAATGAACATTGGAGCATATGATATTCACTTCTAGGATTCTAGTGAGATTACATCATGAGTGCATGTTTTTCCCAGTCTACAAGCCTAGTGAGACAGTCAAGATTGCCTTCTCAGACTGACTAGGAGGAAGCCATCATCTTGGCCAATGTTGCTGAGCGAGCAGAGCGGTACGACGACATGGTTGAGTACATGAAGGTGTAGCAAGAGAGTCGAATACACTATCTGAGAGAGTCCAAGATTATTACTGTATGCATCTACTACAAAGTCAAATACATTGTCCTTGTTGATTTGATTTTGTGCTTGTCTCATGTGCTTGGCCTGGATTTGTAATGTAATGTTTATTTCAACACCAAGACCCCAACAGTGAGAACCTTTTCAGCCCGTCAAGGCGGGCTAGCAAGATTGCTTTCACCAACCAGTAGGTGTTTGCTTGATTTTGCTCTTCCCAGATGTCTTTGGGGACTTTTCCTATTGCAATACAACAGTGTTGTTTTGCTTTACAGATACTTCTCCAATGCAGCTGCAAAGGACAGAGTAAAAGCTGGCAAAGCTCTCAGCAGAGAAGAGAGAGAAATGCTTGCCGCAGCCTTCAAGGCACTTGATGTCCAAAGAGCTTGTCATAGCTTGTGTTTGGCGGTGAAAAAAGTGTATTCGACCAATGAGCAGCAACCTTGAAGCAAAAGGGTACGCGAGAGTAGTAACACAGGGCATTACTACTAGGAGCAAGGACGCCACTAGGGGCGATCCTGGCCTTACTACTAGGAACAAGAAGCTACTAGTAACAAAGGGCATCGCTACTAGGAGCAAGGATGCTACTAGGAGCAAAGGGCATTTCTACTATTACAAGAAGCTATTAGCAGCTCCTGGCATCGCTACTAGCAACAAAATGCATCGATTGCTACTAGTTGGCCACAGGGTGCGATGAGCAACCGCCGCCTTGCAGTGCGGGTGTGCAAGAGCATTCAGAGCCAAGAGGCGAGCGACAGATCTTTTGGCACTCAGGAGGCTGAATGAAGTGTTCCTACTAGTATTACTAGTAACAAGGGCATTACTAGTTGTAGCAAATGGCTACTAGTGACTAGTCAGTAGCGTCCTTGCTCCTAGTAGCGATGCCCTTTGTTACTGGTAGCTTCTTGTTGCTAGTAGTGCTTTCTCTCAGGAGGAAGCGGACAAAGAGAAAAATGCTGCCTTGACATCAGGTTATTTGACCAAGGCAAGGCGGTCACCGTGACAGCATTCAATAGCGATGGCCTATAATCTAATAGCGACGGCCTCCAACCTAATCGCGATTTGATGCCTTGTGGATTGACTTGAAGTTGACACCAGAGGTCCGCTTGGAGTTGCAAGGTCTTTGTATCCAGGTGGGGTAACATTAAAGAGCGCCCTCGAAACCTTTTGGAGATCTTTGCAATTTGCAGATCCTCGAGCTGATCGAGGGAATTCTTTTGTCAGAGACTCATCATTTCCTTTGTGTGGATGTGCGTTTGTCTGGAACAGATAAGGCCAAAAGCAGAGAATGGGGAGCCGATGGTCTTCTACAAGAAACTGCAAGTCATCTTCCCAATCTTCTTTCATTCGCAGTTCGCTCCTCTTCAATCGGTTCCCAAACAGGCCGACTATTACAGATACCTGGCAGAGTTCCTCGAAGGGGATGGCCACAAAGAGGTCCTGGTTTTGAACGCAATGTTTGCTTGTGCTTGTGTGCCACTCAATATATTTTTATATATTTCTATCATTATTCAAAGTTCGACATCTTTCAATTCGTAATGCGCTTTGTGCATTGTATAGTGAAGTTATGCAAATGATGCTAGTAGTACATTGTAGCAGTTTCTACATCATTTTACAATATTCGTGTTGAAATTCATTGATAATGGATCATTCAAAACAGCATGGAGGCAGAAATGACTTGCTGACAAGTTTGCAGCCTTCGATGAATGATCACAATCATGATGCCTGGTTCAACCATCTCAAACAGAGTGGGATCGTAATTTCACCCTGAAACATCTTCAAAGTCACCTTTTGCAGCTCCTGATCAGAGAGCACAGGAAATTGGAACCGTTCGGTATATAGCTTGAAAACACATACACACATGCTTCTTGATGAACTCGGGGCAAGTTGTGACCATCCATGAAGCCTGCGGTACTTTTTTTGTAGCCAGCCTGAGACTGTGCTGGGGGGGGGGGTAGAGTTTATGTTTTCCCAGTGTGCACGTTTTCTTCATTCTTGACGTCTTGACACCCCGCTTCCGAGACAAGATTTTCCCCATGGCACCATACTTCTTCTCACAGACTTCTGGACTGGAGTCAAACCACAGATTGACCGCCATCCACAAATGTCTCGTTCATAGCCTTATTCTTTGGTGGTAGTCTTTCCACAAAAGTCATTTCACTCTTTTCTGGCACTTTGTGAGCAACCGAGGAACTCCTGAGTCCACCGGAAGGGCGGGGGCACTTCTCCACCTCCCATTCCATCACTGATGTTGACTCCTGCTTTGTCCCTGCCATGTTACGTTGTATTTCCATTTGCCGGATGATGCTGGGTCATGCAGATACGGTAAGTTTGTAGAGGCTTTGAGAGTCTCGACTTGGACTGACACCGACATACTCGTATCATGTTATATATGTTTCTCGGTAAGCATGTTTGCCGTCAACGTGTCCACGCGTCGTGAAGATCTCAACATCCATGGGCAAAGACTTGTGATTATGGTTAGACAATGTTGGACACACATGTTATCTTTCGGTGTCCTTGTTCTCCCGCGACTGCTCTACTTGCCACCACACAATTCAACCAAGCAGTCAACATCATTTTTGCGCGATTTCGTTTTGTGGCGCCCACAACGCTGCTACAACATTTTATATCAATCCCGTACAAGAACTTGTAATGATACAGGTGTTTGTTCCTCGCAGGCAGTTGCCAGCGCGATTGAAGTCTATGCAGATGCGACGGCTGAGGCACGAGAATAGTCAAGAACATGGCAACTTTGTTGTTTTGGCTTGTTGATCTCATTCTATTCAATGGTTTAGCATAATGTGAACTGGGCTTACTGTTCACAATCCCTGTTTTGAAACTGCTGGCAATCATAATTCACTGAGGCAGAGAGGCATCTCATGGTCACGCATCCTGTGCGCCTTGGGCTCGCTCTGAATTATGCAGCCAGAACCTGAGAGCAAAGTGGGACCTGAAAAACATTTCTCAACGAAAAACGCCAATAATTCACTTGGTAGGTCTTCCAGCAAGTGATCCGCAAGGACCCTTTGCTTCACAGCATCCCAACATTGGACATGTAAGCTTTGGGGCCAGAGAGTGCTGAAAGAGAAGTCAAGTGCATCCACAGAGGACGATTCCTCGGCCGTGCGGATAGCGAAGGTTGCAAGCTCAATCAGTTTTGTGATCTTCACCAAGCAATCAAAGACGCTTCGAACAGCACAGAAACCATCAGAAGCCTGCACTGGTCCAGTTAGGATGCATATTTGTCGGCTGTGCGGGCTCTTGAAGGCATGCCACAGGCACAAATAGAGACATGATCAGATAAAGTATTATCCAAAGGCTTCACTGGATAACGTTTTTCCAACCAATGTCTTTTGCTGAGAAAACAGACTAAAGCATCGAGAGCACTTTCCCGGAAGGAAGCTGTAAGGGACGCCCATCCAATACTTGCGCTGTTGCAGGACTTGCGGTGGACCGTCAAAGGGTTTAGAGTTTAGACTCAACAACTTAGGTCTTCATGTTAGCTTTAGAGAGGGACGGAGCAGGTGAAGATAGCCATGACAGAGCGATTCGGCCTGATTCGGCCGTGGCAGGAAAATCTGCAGGTCTGGTCACCTGAGGGCTTCTCTTAGTTGGACCAGCCATGTTTCACCGGCTCCGTTCAGAGTGTAGTAACGTCACACATACATACAACGATGTAACACACACACACATATATATATATATATGGCAAATAATTAACTATATAACATGGAAGAGATGCTCCACTTGTGATGCGTGGCCGCTAGCAGAATCAGAGTCTGAATATGAGGCTTTGATTTGCATGTTTGGTCCTGACCAATCGAACAAAACCGCGTGCTGCGTTTATTTTTTGGTTTAAGGTTTTGTTTTACCGACCACTTACTGTTGAATGATGTTGCCTTCACCGGTTTTGCAGGGAGAGTTGCTGTTTCACAGCCGGGCTGTGGTTCATCGCGCATTTTGGTTCAGCTTTCGGAAGCTTTCCAATTCGCGATGCCAGAGGTGCTCATGCATGAATGAAATGTATGGGAAGAAAAACAGCTATCCTGCAGACGCCTTCACAAGTGGTCTGATTCGACAGGCCATGGATGCTGACTCCCAATTGAAGCGCGTGCCAGCTGAAGCACGTGTCACGCCCATCAAGCGGCTTGAGGAGGCAAAGTTGAAACAAACATTGTGACTTTGGAGAGGTTGCACATAGTTGCAATGGAATTATGTGACTTTGCCTGGCAAATGGAACAACAACATGACAACAGTCTGAACTGTCATGCTGTTGGTTTTGTCTGAACAGGCCTTGGAAAAGTCTGCGCCTTAAGGCAAAACAATCGAGAGATGTGCAAACCGGAGAGATGTAAAGGTCAACCCCACCTCCGTTGCGCACTCTAGAAGGTACCTCGAAGGCCATGGATGATCATTGATGTGCCTCTTGATGTGAAGTGATCCAGCCTGTTGCAATCTTGCAGATGTCAGAGAAGCTTGCTGACATTCGCAGATCAGCACAGGCCAGAGTAATCGAGAGTAGTTCTCCTGCCGTTCTCTTTAAACTTTGGAGGACTTGAAAGCACGTGCGTTGACGCGGGTGAAGGCTCGGTGCTTGTCGCTGTTTCCCCTTCCATGCCCTTGCTTGAGAAATCTTGCCAATCACCTTGCAGGAGCCCGAGTTTCAGAAGTTGACGATTTCCACAACTGGTGGGGTGGCAACCTCAGGAAATTGCAAAGTTACAAAATGTAATTGTCAGCCGTTGCCGATCAACACATACGAACACCATCTCATTCATTTGGGACAAAGGAGCTGTGGTATGTTGGAAGAATCCCATTTGCCCAACCATCTGCACCAGGGTGGTCATCGCTATTAGGTTGGAGGCCATTCCTGTTTTTGCGCTATTAGGTCATCGTCCTCGGAGCCACCGGTGGTGCTTTCGGCATTGCCTCTGGAGTAGTCGTTGGTTCGGCCGTCGGGCTGGCTCCAGCACTTGCCACGCAGCTTGGCACGCACACAGCATCAAGTTTGTGTTCCTAGTAGCTTATTGTTTCTAATAGCTTCTTGTTAGTACTAGTAAGGCCCTTGCTCCTAGTAGCGATGCACTTGTTTCTAGTAGCTTAATAGTTCATATGCTTGATTTGATATGCTGTATATTGCTGCTGTATTTAAGCTCGGATATTAAAACATTTGTGGATCTTCGAAGTGGCCTCTTGCAGATTGGCGGGCTGAATAGCATTTGCATTGCAACCATTTCATACCATTTCATTCATGTCGATATAATTCGATATATATATATATATAAGTCTGATATAGTCTGATTAATATTGAATTCAAACATGATGAAGCATGGTCCATCATGATCCAGTGGTCAGGGACAGCAAACCGCCTCGGCTGTCATCGAAGTAACGGAGGTTTGGCCTCTCAATTCCTGCCGGGGCACTATGTGGAGGAGTTGCAGGTTGGTCGAGTCTTCCCGGCAGTCGAAGATGAAAAGAGCATAGAATGTGTTAGAATATATTTGAGTGAGGCTCTGGCAAAGGTTTCAATCACCCAAAGCAGCATACGATATTTTACGCAAGTCCATTCTGACAGCCACTTTGCCCTGTTGAGAGGTCTCCTGCTTGGCAGCACTGTTGGTGGGACCGCAGGCGGAGCTGGTGGTTATTGCGTCTACAAGTACAGGGCCAAATCCTCAGCGAGAACGGAGCCAGCGGATGTCGGGGGTGAACAGCAGCATGTGCCAGTGTGCGTGTGTTTGCCTTGGAAGGTTCAAATCAAGGATGGCATCGTTCAAGTGAAGGTAAAGGTGCAGAGTTCATGATGAACTCTCGACTCAAGAACTTGTAGATGCATGCGTGGGCTTCACAATAGCTTGATTGGAGCTTGATGCAGGCCGTCAAATTTGTGTCTGACGGCTGTGAGAAGGCCAAAGGCCAGGTGACACTTGTTTCTATAGGCTGCAATAAGGTCGGCAGTGTTTACTGTGATGCTCCAGGCACTGCTTCATCCGCAAAACTCATGATCCAAAACAGGGCGGCACAAGCTACAGAGAAGGCATGGATCAAGGCTGTTTCTCACCTTTGCGGGGAATGACGTGCAATTGTTCGACCCAGGCAGAGTTTGCCATGGCCATTGCCAAGGACGATTGGTACTTCACACAAGCAAAAAAACATCCAGGAAGATCTAGAAGGCATAGCCACGTTCTTCCAAGTTCTTTGACAGTGTTTTTTGGAGCGAAGGAGAAGTCTGGTGTGGCTGCAGCACTCGCCAAGGCCAAGGTGACTTGACAGACAACTACATCAGGTGGATTGATGTGGATTGGAGGATTTATGATGATATATAATGATATATATATATATATCTGTATATAATATATGTATATATTATATGTATATATATATATGTGTATGTCAGGCCATGTTGTGTCCAACGGTGTTTGGATTTGGCCTTGACTGAGGCTGGAGAGGCGTGGAACTTTACCACCGGCACCCGCTCCGGTGTCTCTTCCGCAATGGCTGTGCTTGGTGGGACAATGGGTTCCACAGCTGGCGGCGTGTGTGGTGCACTAGCGGGTGGAGCTGTTGGAATGGTTCCAGCCTTACCATGAAGCCAGCCATTTTTGCACAGAGCTATTTTTGTAATCCAAGTGTCTTCCAAATGTTCCTTCCTGTTGTTCCCTTCGATTTGCTTCTTTTGCGGTTCGTTAACGCCTCTTCTTCTTAGCGTCACTGATTTCATTTTGTTGCTTTAAAGAGCTTCTTTGCACCTTTTCATTGCTACACTTCACGAGGTGCCGGCCCTTTTCACCTTTGGTCTGTCGATCCCGGTTGGCGCTTCCATCGGCCTCGTGGCTGGAGCGACCACTGGGGGTGGCGCAGGTGCTGTCAGCGGTCGGAACCTTGGAGCGACGGTCCACGATGCGAACAAGCTAACTAGTAGAAATGGCCTCCACCCTAGTAGAGGTGGCCTCCACCCCAAAAGCAATGGCCTCCACTATTGTGAACGCTGTGCCTTGACATGGAACCCGTTCAGGGCATGAGGTGTGGCCTTTTTGCTGTTGCCACTTTTCCTCAAGGCCCAAAGCCACAAGGTTTACCTTACGCGATTTCGTCCATCGCCGGAAAAGCGCTGTTTTGCATTGCACTCGGCTGGCGGCCGTGTGCTACAGTGGCACCGGAGCTGGCGGTCTTGGCCTTTTGGGCGAGCTTGCTTGGAGCGGCACGCGCCGCTGCTGCTGCGCACTTCGCTTTGCCTTTGAGGGCTCCCTTTGCATCGAGGCCACTCTCCTTTCGGCATTTGTGCTGGGTGACCTGCTACCTGATCCTGGCATCGATCACGGAAGAAGATATTGTTGTCCTCCCTGGACCTCGCTACCTGGTGGTGACCGGCAGGCGCCGGAGACGCCGCTGTCGGTGGTGGGCTGAACTCATCTTTCTGCCCCTGCGGACTTGAGTCTCACTATATCACGTTTGCCATTTTTGCTGACTTTGCCTAAGGCATCATGTCGGATAAGAGGGAGGGGAATGGCGGCGCATGGGCAAGAGTCCCAACTTGGGACGGCTCGCCTCAGACATGACGAGGGTTCAAGAGAGAGATGGACTGGCGGTGCTCGGCATTGGACTTGGCTTCGACGACCAAGTACAACCTTGCAGCTCGATGGCTGTTGACAGAGACAGTCAGGGGTGGTTGGACAATGCGTAGAAGAGTTACCCCCCCATCAGCTTGAGTGCCAGCCAGCAGAAAGGAGCAGGTGGTGATCACACCGGCCAGCCCATTAGCTGGAATTCAGAAGCTCATGAAAGCTCTTGAGGAGATCAATGGCAAGACGACCTTGGGACAAGCCAGGAGAGCTGAACCAGTTTTAATTGCAGCTTCGTCGCCGACCTGGAGAGCGCAGTGCAGAGTTCAGCGCGCGCTTCCGGACGCTTGTGTCCGATCTCCGCGCTGAAGGAGTGCAGCTTCCTTCGAGAAAACTTGGGTGGTTCTAAGTCCAAGCTTGGATTGGACGCATTGCGCACTCAGCTCCTTGAGGATTATGAGCGCATTGAACGAGAAGTGCTGTGCTTGTTCAAGGAGCTCCATGCCCTCAGCCGCAAGCCCTAGGTTGTTGAAGCGCTTCCTGAATCAGAAGTTCGAGTCGAGCTTCATCCTGTGCCCCTTCTATGACAAACTCTGCGCCCAGGTCTATATGAGATCTTCTTCATCGACGGCAATCTCACGCGCCAGCGCCTACAGGTTTTACAGGTTTCAGAAGCCGTGTCGGAGGCTGAGGTGGAGATGGAGCAGGAGGAGGACGATGAGCTCGTGGCTGACGCCCCAGCTTCTTAGGATGAGGCGCTTCAGATGGAAGCTGAAGGCTTGTCTCAAGATGTTGAGGAAGCGGCTGAATGTGGGCTTGACACCGACACCTTGCAGCAGACTGCTGCGGAAGCATTGCTCACTATGTGTGGGAGATGGATGAGGATGAGGCCTATTTGCGCCGAATCCTTGCCACTGGCCGCGGGTATCCGCTGGTGCTACACGTTCAACCAGGAATAGGGCAAGACTGGAAAGAAGCAGCTTTTCTTGAGCTCATCGTCAGCCACCTTGGATGGAGAGCCTTTGAATGAAGCACTGCCGATCTTCGCCTTCCTCCAGCTGTCTGAGAGTCCAGGCTGGCGTGACAAAGGTGATGTCGT